CCCAACGGCCAGCGCAGGACACCCGGAGGGGTTTTAGTGGGTGCGAGTCCCACATAACCCCGGGATCCCGGGGTATGCGTAGGCATTTCCCCTCCGTAATAAAAAAAAAGACGGTTTTTTCCGATCCTTTTTCATTTATTGCAAAATATCTTTTGTACTACGACATTTTAACTTTCTAACTAAAAAAATTCTTTTCTTCAATTTTAAACAATAGATTTAAAAAAATTAGTTAAAATCGATGCACTACAATATAAGATACAAGCAAAAGAAAACGTTGGGTTACAAATACCCGGATGTAGGTAGATAGGGACTTTTTTGAGATGTAGGTACTGAAGGTTAATAAAAAAATTTCGTAAATATACTATAAATCTAAAGCAATCAGTGATAAATGTTTTTCATGTTCAATTAATTTGTTAAAAAGAAATGTCTAATGGAGAAATATAAAAAAACTTTTTTAAAATAATAAATATAGGAATTAAATCTGTGATTAAAAAATATTACAGGTATTAACGAAAGAAGATTACAATATGGATTTTTGAAGAGTATATGCTTATTTCATTACAATACTATAATATATAGATTTTCGTAGTGTTTAGGAGTATTTTTGCTTGCAATAATCTTGTTACATAAGACCAGTGATATACACAGTGTATAGATAGCAAATTAATATTTTTAATTTGCTATTGCTTATGTTATATTGTCTAATGTTTTTGACTATCATTAACCGATTCATTTTTAACATTATATCAGATATTTACGCGATTTGTACTATAAACCCATCAAGACTGTACTGGCAGTAATAGACATTTCCTTTGGTGCACTGGCTTGTCGCACACTCATTTCCCATGTGTCCAATAGTTGAGAAAGAGAGAAACGGCGCGGCAATTTCGCGATGCGAATGTTCAGGGCCTTTTGTACAGCACACAGAAATGTCGTTGCTTCGTATTCGTGCGGTGCCATGACGCAACGAGGCGGTGTTGAAGGATAGTCTGCGGGAACTGTAACTGAGATCGGTGGAACGCATGGAAGATGACGATCGTCAAGCCAGCATATTAATTGTATGCATCTCGATCCACTTTGTTGCGCTGGGTCTAGACTGACCTAAAATGAAAATTGCATGATTAATAATAATTATATTTGTGTATATACTATCTTTTTAATTATAAACCAGATATAAAAATCGTAATTTGGTATATCGTTTTATACATAAAAAATTTTAACAAAATTTACGAATTATAAAATTAAAACATTTTTATAGGTAAAAAGTTTTAACACCAGTGTTAAAACTTCCAAATAAGAATAAATTTTATCAAAAATTTGTTTACTTTGAAAGTTTTACACAAAATAAATTGTAAATAAGCTTAGAAGCTGATATTACATACTTTAAAACGTTGGTCCAATCTAGCTATTTCTCCTTGTAATACATCTGGTATTTCGCTAGATGATTCCTCTATTTTTTGCTTCTTTAAAGGTAGTGGCAAATTTCTATTTTTATACAGATCATAGAATATATTTCAATGTTTGATTGTAAATTTATTACATAAAATAAAAAATATAAACAATTTTTATATATGTATGCGTTCTTACTTTATCTCTGGTCCAAATAATGCATCCAAACATGGTCCAAAAGTGCGTTGCAATGTGTGATTGATTACCGGACTTTGGAGATGTGCGCTTACGGCTTCTAATAGTGGACTGAAAATTTGATGCTCCTTCAATGTTGTTACTGGCGGTCCCACACTACCGTCTCCTCTTTTAAAATCTAATTTTTCCAAGACAACTTCACATTTTAGTAACGTATCTAACGGCATACGTTTACTGGGATTTGATAAAATTTCCAAGAGCTTCTTCATTTTACTGAGTTTATCAACATCTACAACAGCAAACAGACAAATATAAACAGTACTTATTCACAATAGTTATTTATTCGAATTATTTAATATTAGAAAGGCATAGGCTTTCACGGATATTATTTTCAAAGGTTTGAAAGTTATCGCTGTGTTTTTATCCATTGCTAATGCTAACGTTTCTTAATATTAAAAAGGCACATGTAATATAAAAAGTGTCACTTTCTTTCTTTTTGTTAAGACTTCTAAATATGAAAAAATAATTTCATATATTTGTATTATATATTTTTAAATATATTTTTTAGTACATTCATTTTCATAGAATAAATTTTTTTGTTTTTAAGCAAACCAGATCTTTTCAATGTTTTGAAAATCCGGTTTCTTATTAATATATATATACATTAAATTGACAAGGAAAAAAGAAAATATTTTTTTTTAAAGGCCTTGTAGGATCACTCTCTCAGTTCAAAAGCTTCCATTTCATGCCAAAAAGAATATCCCTAAATTTGTATTTAAAAATATTAAGATTTAGAGGTCGCTAGGGAATGATTCTTATAAATGAAAGTTTTGATTTTTCATAATACATGTTTGATTTGATGCAAAAATGGCTTAAACCGGATTTTAAATATAGTAGTGTATGGTTTTGTGATCGCTGAACACGATGCAATATTTCGTCTAGCTCTATGATGTTCGGCTTAAGAAATACAGTCCGATAAATGTGAAAAAATGACAATTCCGAATTCAAGGTCGATTTTAGCAAAGTTCCAAGCGTTTAAATGAGTCGTTACTCCCCTCAAATTGTAGGTCTGTTCATCCAGAATAAGATCCAGTTAGAATTTTCCCGAAACCTCCTACAGGGCCTTTAAAAGTTGTATTTATGGATTATAAAACGTTTTTAAGAATAGAAAAATTTTTTTACAAGTTCTAAAGTATATCACTTTGTGGTTTTAACATCCTCAAATCAAATGCCTCAATTTGACAATAAAAAAAACTCTTTATTACAAAATGAAATGCGTACATAACACAAAAAAATATGATTTAATCAATTGAAATAAGCTACATATTATGTAGTTCATTCCAATTAATTAAATCATTTTTTTTTATTATGTACTCATTTCCAGTTGGAATTTTCCCGGGACCTTCTACAGGGCCTTTAAAAGTTGCATTTAACTGAATTATAAAACGTTTTTAAGAACAGAAAACATTTTTTTACAAATTCTAAGGTATATCGCTTTGTGGTTTTGACATCTTCAAATCAAATGCCTCAATTTGACAATAAAAAAACTCTTTATTAGGAAATGAAATGAATACATAATAAAAAAAATATACTACATGATGTGTAATTTATTTCAATTAATTAAATCATATTTTTTGTATTATGTCATCTCATTTCATTTTCTAATAGAGTTTTTTTATCAAATTGAGGCATTTGATTTGAGGATGTCAAAACCACAAAACGATATACGTTAAAACTTTTTTAAGGAAAAAATTTTTTAATTACACTTTAATATTGTTCTTTATATTAATCATGTAATTTTATTTTCTTACTTCCTTCGCTGCTCATCTTGGCAATCATTCTTCGTAATGGTTCTATGTATTTGCTCAACTGTCTAACTTTGTCTCTGTAAGCTTGATCTTCTTGCTGAGGACTTGGTGTAGCACCTACACCTCCGGGAGTATTTAACGAACTGCTTGGAGATGGTGCCATACCTATATAGTTATATAGTTCAATATATTTAATAATTCCATTTTTTCCTTTTCTTATTTATGTTGACCTTTTATGTTTATTAATTCTCGATTATCTGAACGTACCTACGGAATTCACGGATCGAGTTGGTCCTGTCATGATGGCATGCTGAGGACTTGGTGATGGCACTAAAGCAGGCGAGGCTACCATTTGATTACTATGGAAATACATTGTTTTGTTGTTATATCAGACATATGTGAAAAATTGCTTTTAAATTTCTATCACACAATCCTAAACATTATATTTAAAAAGAATGTGAATGTTACCTCGACGGTGCTCCCAATCCAGCTGGGCTTGGAGCTGAAGGAGATGGACTCTGTCTCAAGAATTGATTAGGTGTAACATTACGTGGACCAGGAAATCCAGTATTCATCATTTCACTTGGCTAAAAATGAAAATGGAAATTATATTGATAGAATATTATCAATCAATAAAGATATTATTATCAATGATATTGATAATGAGAATTATTAAAAAGATAAGTGTATTATATACTTTTCTTTGAATATGATTTAACTGCTGTTGCATCTGACCAGGGCCTAATTGTCCAGGACCAATTTGATTCATTTGCTGCGATATACTAGTCTGTATATTGCCTATTGGTCCTGTAATTTGATTAGTCATTTGACCTGGTAGTTGAGTCTGCATCTGGGACTATGATAAAAATAATCTATGAATAGATTATGACAAAAATAAAATGCCATTGATTCATCCTTTTACCTTATTTTGGGCTTTTTATATATTCTTATATAACTTATTTACGTACAAAGAAGGTAAGTAAATAGAACGTACCTGCATATTTTGTTGCATCTGTCCGCCTAATTGACCCATTTGTCCAGGCACCATTTGATTCATTTGTGGAGGAATATTTCCTTGTCCCATCTGATTCATTTGAGTCAGCATAGGATTGTTTTGCATACTCTGAATGGGGCCCATGTGATTCATTGGACCACCAGTTTGCGACGGCATCATACCCATACCTGGCATCTTGTTTTGCATACCAGGCATATTTATTGGTTGGGCAGGTCGTTGATTTAAACTTTGCAAAACTAACAAAATGTACAAAAGAGTTTGAACTAGTTATCACTTGGAGATGTGTGTGTACATTTTTCAGATATGTATAAAAAATTATACATACAAAAATTATTTATGTATTTTGTACATCGCAGCAAAAATTTAAAGATATATTGTAATATAATATTATAGAAGAATGTATAGAAATCAATGCATAATAATAAATCAAAAAGAGAATATAAATAAATATAATTCGTATTCATTAATTTATTATAATTAATTTACTTATGATATGTGTTTATTGTTGTTTATTTTTACTAATTATTAACATGAAAACAGAAGATTTTTCAAACTTAAACAAAACATAAAAATCTTAAATATAGAATCTGTGTAATTATAACTTCGGAAAAAAATTGTGTACAAAACTGATTAATTCGTGTACAATTTATAAGACGTTAAACACTACAAAATGCATGAGATATCAGTATAGATTTATCTTTTTAAAAAAAGGTAAAAAAGTGCTGTCAGTACGTGCTCTGCAAAAAAATTTTTATTAACTTAAAATATATGATGAAACCTAAATGATACGTATTTAACTATTAAAGTCTCAAATAATAATCAAATATAAATACAAAATTAAAAAATGCTGTACAAAATTAAAAAATGAAATCCAAATTGCGTTATCTTTTCAACCCAAGGGTTATCACAGAGAATTAAGGACGTAACAGAACAAAAATAAAAAATTTAAATTAAAAAATTTTCATGTAGAAACACTTGGCGCTGCTGGACCTAAAAATGTAGAGGCATTACAATAAGAGTCGAGACATGAAACTGGAAGGATTGCTGAGACCTCATTACACAAACTCACGTTTTCACTGACGCATCGCACAATCCCAAACATGACGCTGACCAATCCCGAATGAATCGCTCATGTCTCGACTCTGATTATAGTGACTGTAGAAAAATATTATGATAAAGTACTAACACATAAATACAATAATAACGTAAGTATGTATTAAGACATAAATAATGTGTATAATATATAGGATTAAAAAAATTTTTTAAACAAAATATGATGGCAATAAGTATAATCAATCTGCATACGTGCGAGCGAGTAATACAGCGTGCAGATTAGAATTAAGTATAGGACATAAGTATTTAACACAAAAACTTCAAGAACAAGGGCGAATGAGAGTCAGCGTGGTAATTAGTACGCAATC